CCTCTCCGGCATCAGCTCAACGCTGCAGAGTTGGTGCATGCGCATTGCCCGACTCAAGGCTCTAGCTGTACGAATGACCGCGCAGCAGCCGTGCTGGAACATCCAATTACTCCCCAGCAGGCGTCCGGAAGGCCAGATCTCTATATGGTCGAAGGTAAATGGTATTCAACGGAAGGTCTAAGCGATAGCGACTACGACCAATTGAATTAAGACGAGAAAGCATTGAGCCGAGAAGCGTTTGAAAGCAAGTAAAACGCATTGAAAGCGCAACCGCCGCAGAATGTGGTCGATAATTTGGAGACCTAGATTGAGGGAATATTGCCTACGACCACGATGCGGATCGATAGCCAGTAGTACGCCCGCCGACGCTTGGTTACTTTCCCTCGAGCCGTGGTTCCAACCGCGTTCGTGAATGGCCGCGCCACCAAGGGGAGCTGGGCGGAACAAACTATTGCTTTATGAGGATTGACCATGTCCAGCCCTTATAAGGGCAGCCCTCCTCAAGCATCTGCCTACTTGAAATCAAGCCATCTTCGACGACCCAACGCTCCTACGCTTTTGTATTCTCGTGCATGAAGATTAGAGAGTCTCCTTAAACCCACCTTCATGTCGATACTCTGACATTGCTCCTCGCAAATCCAGTAATAGTACATTGTAAGGACCGCACTTTAAACCACTCAGCCGTTCATTGCTCACCCTTCCACTCTGAAGTAAGATGGGTATCGTGCAGGCATGTTGTGCCTAAAAATAAAATGACAATTTAGTCTTTGCGCCGGCGACCTGCGAAAGATTAGCATCTCTGACGATGGGCAAAAGCATCGCACGCCTCGAAGAGGTGCATGTACCACAAGGTGCTCGCCTTGCACGCGAAGGTGAAGCTGTTCATTGCAGCGAGTGCTGTTCCACCACCACTATCATGCCGACCAACACGTCTTATCTGTAATAACCCTTTGCCGGTCTGTTTTTGTATTCCATCTGAGGCGGCAAGGTCTTCCGGCAAAAATAAGAAAAGCAGAGTACGTCCCGCCAGAGCAGTCTCAGAAAGGATACAAGCGCAAGTTCGCTGAGGAGGCAAAGCGCAGCCATCAGCGGCAGGCCAAGATGCACGCGATGAATGTGAGCGCCGTCGATGGGAAAGAAAAGCTTCTGATCATAGTGGTGAACGTACGGCTGTGAGCGGTTCCGAGAGTCCAGCAAGCGAAGGGGAAGGGAATGGGCAACGTAGTCCGAAGTGCCCCGGAAGCGCTTCGAAGAAGCAATCCCATTCGAATCGAAGCCCGGTTCGGTCAGCTTCAGCATCTACAGCGGAGGAGAATCCCCGGTAAGGACAAAGATCAGCAAAACAACCC